GAGTTCCTTAGCTATACAGAGCTTTTCAATTTTGTGACTTCCTACTTGTCAGTTGTTGGCCTTAATTCCTCGGCAAATGGAGTCCAATTCAGAAAGCCCTTTCATACACCTAAATCTTGTAGAGTTGCCTGTGTTTTGCCTTGTGGTGCCTTGTAGCCTGAGTTTTCTACTAGTGTTTTTTTAGTGTTCCAGGTTTCAAATTGAGATCTTTGATCCACTTGGAGCTAATTTTTGTTCAGGGTGATAAATATGGGTGTAGTTTCATTCTGCATGAGTTTTTACCAACACCAATTTTGAAGATTTTTTTTTCTCTAGTGTATGCTTTTTTTGCCTCTTTGTCAAATATCAGATGATTGTAGTCATGAGTACTTGTGTTTGAGCCTTCTATTTTATTTCATTTATTTACTCATCTTTTTTTGTGCCAGTACCATATTGCTTTTATTACTATATCTCTGGAATAGATCTTGGTGTCTGGAATGATAATCCATCCAGTATTACTTTTTTTCACTCAGGTTTGGTTTTGCTATCTAGCGTTCCATATCAATTTTGTTTTTGTTTTTGTTTTTTCTTGCTGTTTTCTATTTCTGTGAAGAATATTGTAGGTATTTTGATTGGGATTACATTGAATCTGTAAATTGCTTTTGGTACGATCGTCATTTTCACAATATTCTACATGGGGAGGGGTCTTTCTATTTTCTAATGTCTTTCTTAGTCTCTTCAGAGATGGCCCTACTACTATCATGTGGTGGAGTGGGTGAGGGAGAGATGCCCCCCTTCTTGTCCCTGGCTGCCTGTGATAGACAAGGAAGATGCTCCCCCTTACCAGCCACAGCACTTGGGAAAGCAGGCCCTGCACCTTGCTTGGGCAGCACAGTAGAGCTGACCTGTTGTTGAGTGAGCTGGCACTGAGGGTGTGAGGGTGGGATAGCTGGCCCTGCCCCCCTTGTCTGCCACATGGTGGTAGGGGCAAGGTAAAGATGCCTTCTTCTGTCTTCTGCTGCCACCTGCCGGCAGGCCGGGGAGCTGACCCTCCCCTCTTACCAGCTGCAGCACTCAGGAAAGTGGGCCCTGCCCCTCACCTGGGCAGCACAGTAGAGCTGGACCTGGTGGTGTAGGTGTGGATGAGCTGGCCCTGATGGCATGAAAGCAGGACTGGTCCCTCCCTTTGCTCCATAATTTGAACTAGCTGCAGCAATGCTGGAGAGCTCACCCTGGTGGCAGGGTCAGGGGAGAGCTGGTGGCCTGACCAACCCTGCAACCAACCAGGCCTAGAACCAGGATTATGAGTTGATCCACCTCATCAATGATCTGCTTGAGCATGTGAGGGGGCAGGTCCTACAGATCCAAAGCTGCAGGGCAACAATGGGATGTCCCAGGAGGAGTCCCAGTGAGGGCCTGGTATCAGTGGTTTAGCAGAAACCAGAGACCTCAAGCCAGACCAGTGACTCTTTGCAGTGAACGTTTGCAAGTAAAGATAAATGGACAAAAGGGTTTACTGCATGACTCACTGTGTCACACTGCAGCTTCCACGGTGAGATTTTTCTTTTTCTTTTCTTCTAAATTTTATTTTATTTTTTTTTTGGGGGGGGTGGGGGAGTGGTTTGCCAGGGCAGAGGGTGGATCCAAAGGGACTGGGAGATGAATGGAATGCGAGATGCATGATGTGAAAGACACAAAGAATAAATTAAAAGAAAGTTTAAAAAGTATTGGTTGTAGTTTTTAACGTCTGATAAAATTCTGCTATAAATCCATCTGAACTTAGGGTTGTTTTTTTTTTTTTGTTTGTTTGTTTTAGTTGGAAGTGGTTTTGTTTCAGTCTCCTACTTTGTCATGGGTTTGGTTGTTGTTGATTTTTTTCTTGATTTAACATAGGTAGTTTGGATGAATCAAAAATTCTTCCATTCTTTTAGATTTTCTAATTTAATGAAGTACAGGTTTTAAAATTATTCCCTTATGTCTTTCTGCATGTCTTTGGTGTCTATTATAATGTTTCCTTGTTCATTTCTAATTCTGTTAATTTGAGTTGGTTGTCTTTTTCTTTTCATTTGTTGGGCCAAAGTTCTGTCTATCTTGTTTATCTTTTGCAAAGAACCAGCCCATAGATTTAGTTTTCAGTAACATTGTGGTCCATTCACACACAGGTATGAATAACATAATGAGATATTACAAAATTTATTGATGAAGTTGTGCCATTAGAGAAAGAGTTCTGGGGCTAGGGAGATGGCTCCACTGTTCTTCTAAAGGGTAGCCATCAATGATCTATAACCACAGTTTCGGGGAACCTGATGCCTTCCTCTGGGCTCCTCACACATCAGGCACACAGTGGCACACATGCTGGCCAGCCAACCATACACATAAAATAATAAGAATAAATATAAGGCATGTGTCATGATGTTTGGTAGCAGTAGTTTTTTAAAAAAGAAAAAGTAGCTATATAAAACAAAGCATACAGATAATCCATTTAGCACCATGGCTTTTTCAAATAACCAGGAAGATGAATTTTAAAAATTAGTCTTATGATTATATTTATAGATGAATTACATAGCATATTTTTCTTACATGTTTTATTTACCTTAAGAACAGTGTTGTAATTAAGCTTCTGGGAACCTCTGTGGATTTTATAAACAAGAGCATGCTGACTCATTGTCTCTGATGCACTGTATCTGATGCTATGGCATTTTCATTTGTACATGTCTAACGCCATGGACATAGAATTCACGATAGACAAATGGAAAGAGCATTTATGAACCATCTCTTCTCAAACATTCCCTTCGTATGCTGTTGACAAAGAACTTCCCACGCTCTTGCTCTTGTTTTCATCTTTTTCTCAGCTGTGAGTCTGAAATTGGGTAACTACACTGGACAGAGGGACTTGGGGCCCAGCTTCATGGCTGCCTGAAAAACACACTCAATGGTGATACTGGTGTTACATCCTGGCCTGTATTCTGTGAATCAGTGCAGTTTAGGGGGGAAGAAATGGTGTATGTTATCATCTCATGCTAGCACATGCTGTAAAAAGAAAGGATATTCTGTCAGGCAGCTCATCTCTATCCTGAGCATGCATGGCTAACATGTAGCCAGTGACTTCTAAAGTTTACTTGCAGATTGAGTATGCCCTTCAGTACCCCCTTTTTGCTCCCTGCTGTTTCCCCTTCTCTCTCTCACTTGCTGTGGGCATCCCAAATTGTCTTCTGATGTCTTGGTGACACTGCAGGTCACTCTCCAGATTCTTGTCTCACAGCACCAAATGTGATCTTCCTTTAGACAGAAAAATGGAAAATGTAGAATCTAAGTGGCTGCCTCCTCCTAAGTACTTGACTGCATAGACTTGAATCCTTTGTCAGAAACCAGTGAGCCATGGTTTATTTATGGACTGTCATCTCATTTCTATTGTTGTTATTGTGACATGTCTATTCTCAAGCCAATACCATGCTGTTTTATTTACTGTGATTTTGTAATGAGTTTGAAAATTGATGTCTTCCAATTTTTGCTCAGGTTTCTTTTGCCTATTCAAAGCCCCTTTCATGTGAGTTTAACCTTTTCTGTTTCCTTAAGTGTGCTCCTTAGAGTTCCCTCCCCCCCCTTTTTATTTAAAAAGAGATTAATCCATGTTGGTACAGAGAAGTTACCTGTAATAGCTGTATTTCTTTGCTTACCTTATTGCTGTTACTTCTTCACAGTTCATTGTTTGAATACACTTTCTCCTCTTGAAATAGAGTTAGGTTGTTTCTAGTGTTTTTCTTTAACCAGTGATGTCTCTGTGAACATTCTTGTGTGTGCTGTTTGTTCAGAGGACTGAAAGCTTCATCAGAATCCCTTTCAACCATGGGTGGGTTTCACCTGCCAGGGACACAAGCAGTATTAAGAGACATTATTGAATAGGGGGATGGGTGCTACTAGCATTTAGTAGTAGAGGCCAGAGATGTTCTAAACATTCAACAATATAAGACAAAAGCTGTCGTGCACAGCAAAAGAGTTAACCAAATTATCCAAAATCCCTAGTTGAGCCGAAATTGAGAAACCCTGTTTAGTAGAGTTGATGGCATTTATGCTATGTAGCATTTTATGAGGTGAATTTTGGTGAAGTGTGGAGAAAATACTGCTAATGTAAGGAGATGTATGGAATGAAAACCAAAGTTCCTTCAGTGATGTTGGCAATGTAATAGTTGTGAACAACTCAAATGTCTCATCCAGGTTGAACAGCAGCAGATTTTACCAGTTCCTTAACTTTGTGAACTGGGAAATGTCGGTGCATCCGCCTCCCTTTGGAGGAAGAGTCTGTTTTAAAAAAGATTGCAGATAGTGACACTAAAAGCAAAATTATACCATGAGACTTAAAGATATTATTATCCATGAAGATGAATGTTAAAAACTTAAAGTTTATTTAAAAGGTTTCTATTTGTTTAGTGCTTAAAATGTTTAGGTGAAAATAGAGGACTAGCCTTCTCCCTGGATTTTAAGGCCCACTTTTGAGCTTTTACAGCCTGTGGTCCCCTTTGAAAATCTGAAGAAATGTTATGGCTCCAGAAACATGTGTACTTAGGTATGCATGATGTTGTACATGGTCTTGGCTGATGGCAATGCATACTTTTTTTTTTTTTGAGGGGGGTTGTCTGTATTGTCCTGGCTGTCCTGGAACTCGCTCTTAGATCAGGCTGGCCTCAAACTCCCAGAGATCCACCTGCCTCTGCCTCCCAAGTGCTGGGATTAAAAACATGTGCCAAAAGGTAGCAATGCATGCTTCTACAGCAGACCCCTGCCATTGATTTGCAGATCAAGGACACTTCTAAATGTCTGTAAAAGCCTTTAGAAGGCTAAAAATAACATCTATTTGAAATCATGTCTGAAGACTAAAACCGTGACTTTGTATCTTTTTAATCAACTGCAGAAAATTTAGGGATGGAGCCCAGCTGGTAATTTGGGATGTAGAAACTTCAGCAGTCCATGACTCAGTGAGCCTTCATGTTTCAGTCTCTAACTCTTCTGCCTCTCTTTACTAGGCATATGCAGTGGTGTTACAGCAACAAGTTAAGGAGAGCAGACAGAGTTCAACAGGAGAAGCTTGCTTCGGCACCTCTCTCCCAGAAGAAAAACTCAATGACTTCCGTGATGAGCAAATCGGACAGTTGCAAGAGCTGATGCAAGAAGCTACTAAACCCAATCGGCAGTTTAATATCACTGAGTCTACAACACCAAAATTGTGATTCATAAATCTTAAGAATGCATGTAAAATTGATAACGTCTTACCTCTTCTATCATTGGCTCTTTAAATATATCCCTTCAGCTTTAATGGAATAGCCTCATTTTTGGACAGTAGGAATGATATATGGATCAAGATCACAAATGGCACACTGTGCCATCACTGGAATAACATATTTGCTGTATGGAATGTAATTTTGTGGAATTTAATTTTTGAACTAAAAGATGTAAAAAGGAACACACTTTGGAATTGCACTGAAAATTTCTTTTTTGTATATGAATTTGTTTTAAATTCTATTCCCATCAAGCATTAGCTCATGGTTTGTTTCTAGCTTCATCAGTTAGATAAATATAACATGATAGGGGTAGATGTGGAATTCCAGTAAGTTTCTTATTAGATGTATTGCCATTCTGAAAGTGCCACCATGTCTTCTGGCTATCACTCAGAACATCCTTTTTGAGTTACTCACAGTGAAATTTTTAATAAAAGCTTTAAGATTCAATTTTTGAGAATTTCAGTTATTGCCTAAAGGTTGGGGAGATGAACAGTATTATGTTGACTTACAAACCTGTGAAAACCTGCATGTAGACTAGGCAACCTATTGGATACTGGAGTGACAGAAGTTGGATCAGGGAGCTAGCTCAATTGGTAAAGTGTTTCTTGTGTGGAGATCTCTGGTACCCACGTGAAGAGCAGGCATAGTACTGCCCCTCTGTTATCCTAGCAATGAAAAGGCAGACAGGCCCATCCCTGTGGCTCACCAGCCAGTACAGCTGAATCAGTGAGCTCCAGCTTCAGTGAGGGACTTGCTCTCAAAAAGTGGAGATCAAGAGGAGGATGGTTCTATAGACTGACTACATGTGACACCTTTGTAAGATAGGTTCTGTAGAGGATAAGTGTCTGCGGAAGGATGTGGTATGGTCTAGATCACCAGGCTACTAACACATCTGAACCTTATTTCTAGAATTCAAGTCTATTTTTCAAATTATATGTGATATTTTCAATCATATTAAAAATTAAACTTATTTTTCTTCTCTTCTCAATAACTGAATGATATTAACATATGCCCAGTTCATCCGTTAATCTAATTGAACTTAGATTTTACATTTCCCTTGAGGCTTGCTTATTAGGAATTCTGAGGCACCATGTGGTAGGTTGCCAAGTAGCCCTAGTTCTCTGCCACTCTTGATAGCCATCTCTGTCTGTAAGTAACTTTGTAGCTCCTTCCTCCTACATTTACCTGAGCTGGCCCTGAAACTTGATTTGCTCAAAAGAACAGACGTATGGTCTAGACCCTAAAGCCTGGCACACTTCCAGGCTTTGAATAGACATGGAGAATAGCACACAAGGGAACAATGCAGCCAGTGTAAATCTGGATATTTGAAAGGAGAGCACTAGTATTTGCACACGAATTTCTAAACAGTCTTAGTAAATAAGAAACACAGAGCCAAATACAGGGGTAATAGCTGAAGAGATCACAGAGAAATATCGAAGAGCCACTGACTAACCCTAACTTACCACCACGCTGTAGCTTCCCAAGAGAGAGCTTCTGTAGTGGGTAGCCATTCCAGCTTGGATCTGGAAGTTCCAACCCCCATTGAGACTCTGGCAACTGTCACGCCTACGAGGCAGGGCGAGGGGAGGTGCTGGAAACCCGAGAGCTGGATGGGCGAGCGCTCTCTCTGGGCGCTCTCTCTGCGCCTGGACCCTGGACGGTGGAGATTGACTGTGCAAAGCTCCAGAGAACACCGCTGGATTGCGATACACCTTCCCCAGACCCCCGCAACCTATCCATTCCTTCATTTGTAAGTCATCCACTAAATAAATCTTCCTTTTAACTACGTGGAGTGGCCTTTATAATTTTCCCCAATAAGCTTCTTCCTGTCCAACCTGTGCCTTATTGCCTTTCTGTTCTGCCTTCTCATTGGCTCTGAGCCTAGCCACATGACTTCCTTGTCACTGCCTGTCTATACAAACTTCCAGGTCTCTATGATTGGGTACTGGGATTAAAAGTGTGTGTCACCACACTTGCCTGTGTCCTTGACCACACAGAAACTCTGCCTACCATGCGATTGGATTAATGGCGTGTGCTACACACCTGACTTCTGTTTGTGGCTTGCTATGTGACCTCTTGTAGATGTAACCAACTGTCTTATTAAATAAGAAACACAGAACCAATGTAAAAGAGAAAGCCACGAGGTCAGAGCTCAGAGCTAAAATCTCACTCTTCCTCCTGCGGCAGTCCTAGCTTCCCGAAAGAGAGCTATTTCCCTGTGTGTAAGTCGTTTCATAGTCATTCTGCCTTCTCATTGGTTGTAAACCCAAACACGTGACTCCCTCGTCACTGTCTATATGTACAGCCCCCCCAGGTCTTAAAGGCATATGTCTCCAATGCTGGCTGTATCCTTGAACACACAGAGATCTATGGGATTAAAGGCGTGCGCCACCACCGCCACACTCTGTCTATGGCTCTAATAGCTCTGACCCCGGGCAACTTTATTTATTAACATACAATCAAAATCACATTTCAGTACAATTAGAATACCACCACAACCTCTGATCTCTAGGCAAACTTTATTAACATACAAATAAAATCACATTTCAGCACAAATAAAATATCACCACAAGTATTGGTTAATTTTAAGTATGAGTGTGACTTGTAGCATAACCATTTAAAATGGCCATTCAGAAGTTAGTATATAAATTTGTAGCTAATAGCAGAGAAGACGAAACAGTAAAAATACAAAATAGGAGTAAATAGATGCTCTGATTTGATAGTGGTTGTCTCCTCTGAAACTCATGTTGGAGGCTGGCCCTCGTGAGATACTGGGAGGTAGAAAGAACCAGCAGTGTGCCTTTGGGAGGGCCCCAATGCTTTAGAGAGAATCAGCAGGATGGAGCTCCCATGACTGAATATTGGTGACTATAAGAAGAGACAGAGATGGACACGAGGTGTCCTCCCTGTGATAACCCCAGCTGCCTTGGGTTCTGTTAGTAAGAAGGCCATCCACCATCAGATGCAGCCCCTCCACCTCTGACCAGGACTGTGAGCCAAAGTAATCTCTAAAAATAAGCACATTGATACTGTGATGTTAGCCACAGAAAAGGACTACAGTGATCGATACAACTCAAGATGTCATTAATTGTGTTTGTTATAGTAAAGGACAGGTTATCCAGTTAAAGGCAAATTTTAAGTGGTCAAGAATGAAATCAATTTATCCTGTTATGAAAATTGCATCGGAAACATAAAGATTGAAAATCATACAAACCAAAAGAAAACTGAAATATATACAAATATACACATGTACACATATATATGTGGGTACATATGTGTGTGTGTGCATATATGTATGATAAAAGTTATAGCAAAAACACTGTTACAAGTTTACTAGAAAGATAATGCAAAGTTTCGATTACTTGCTAAGAGAATGATTAAGCAGCACCATACTTTAGAAAGTTAACCCAGTTCCAGATAACTCATGTGTCAAAGAAGACACCAGGAGTGTAACTGGAACTCTTCACCAGTGAAAATGTCCAATAAGATGTAAGGGCTGCAGTTCAAACAGCACGTGGAGTAAGCTGATCCACTTCAGTGTGTCTAGCAGGTCCAGAGAAAGGTTGTGTACGAGAAGTATGTATCTCAGCCAGGCAGGGTGGCAGACACCTGTAATTCCAGCACTTGGGAAGAGGTGGAGGCAGGAAGATCAAGAGTTCAAGGTCATCCTCAGCTAAAAGGTAAGTTTGAGGCCAGCCTTGGCTACATGAGGGACCCTGTCTCAAAAAACTAAAAGGAAATAACTAAATAATTTAGAAAAACACAAAGTCAGAAGGAAATAAGGATTAAACCAAAAGGTTTACGTTTAAAAAATTGATTTTTAAAACAATATACAACTAATCATATCCCCTGATAGACCCCTAGAAATGTTAACAGAAAGAAAAAGTAACCCATACAGGAACAAAGGAAGATACAGCTATTTCTGTTGGTATGATATTATAAAGAACTTAAAAGCAATATATTTGTAATATCCAGAAGAAATTGACAAACTTTTAAATGCAACCTACCAAAATAGATACACACACAGACAAAAAAAAAAATTGTTGCTACAGCAATGAAAGCCACTTAGTCAAGAGTTTACAGTGATCCCAGAAGAAAAATCCACACTTAAGTAATTTTGGGATGAGCACTGCCAAGTATGAAGAAATAATCCTAACCTGAAGCTTTTTCACTGAGCAGAGGAGAGGCGGACTCCCTGGTTCACTTTATCACACACCCAGTGAAGAACAACGAGGGAAAACTAGCAGCCAATTTCACCTAGGAAGATGGATGCAAAAAATCCTATTATCGAGACAAATCTAGCGAATGACAACTCATCACCTGGTCGGGTTTGTGCCAAGAATCCAAAGCTGTACCTGCATTAGAAAATCATTACTATCATATCCCACATAATGAAAGGCTAGTTAATCATGATCAGTTGAGAGGTACAGAAAGAACGTTTGTTAAACATGATTTAAAAAAAAAAAAAAAAAGCTCTTAAATTGGGTATGAAGGGCACTTGAGTCCAATTAGAGGATTTCTCCAGATAGCTGTAGCAAACGTGAGTCATTGGCAGCCACCACTTGTGAGATTGAGGGAAAGGCAAGCATGTTTATCATTACTTATTTTCAAGTCAAAAACTAGCACTGTCTGATAACATGAGATTTAATGTAGAAAATTAAACAGTTACAAGTTATTAGAATGAATAAGTCGCTAATGTTTGCTAGATGCAAATATTGCTATGCAAAAATTTCCAATTTGCTGCATTGCTCTAGAATGCAGCAAATATGGAAATGCATTTCTGTCAACAACTAGACTAAAAGATATCCAGAACTCTGGAGGAAATTGTGTAAGTTTCTTTCAAGATCTGCAGACTTGGAGGTGCTCAGTGCTCAAGATTAGAAGTTTGAACATCGCAAGCATCTCAATTTGTCTGCAAATGTTGTATACTTTCAAAACAATTAGAAGTGCAAACGTTTTCATTCTTAACTGATTTTTACCTTAAATTTTACATAAAAGTATAAAGTACCAGGAATATCAAAGTCATTTTTTAAAAATAAGATTTTTTTAATTGAAAATAGATTTTTCATAAAATACATTCTAATTATCGTTTCTTCTCCTTCAAATCCTCCCAGTTCCTCCTCAATTCCCTTCCCATCTGAAGCCACATTCTTTCTGTCTCTCATTAGAAAACAAACAGGCATCTTAAGGAATAATAATAAAATAAAATCAGATAAAATGAAACCAAAGAAATGAGAATAGGACTAAACAAACAACAAAAGAAAAGGAGCCAAAGAAAAATCATGAGAAACACATAGAGATGCAGAGACACAGACATTCACACACACAAGAATACCATAAAAAAAAAGCGGGAAACTGTAATGCATATGCAAAGGACCTGTAAGATTAAAAAAAATGCCCTGACACGACATTATGAGACAAAGAGCCTCCAAATATGCCTTTGAGTT